TTTTCATGATATTCTAATTTTTTGAGATGTACCTGTAAGGTCAGTAAAAATTAACCCTTTAGGCCTGTTTACACCTGGTCATTTCATGCGATTTTTTAAAACGTTTCCATTTACACTCGGCCACATAAATGTGTCGTCGCAAAACGGATATAAATCCGATCTTCAATTCCCGCGCTATATTTAAATTTAGATCTGACATATTTATATTTAAACCGAGTTCACGTCAATGAAATCAAAAGATAAGCGCTGCATTTTATTAAATATCAGCTCATTTCAAGATCAAAGACCGCAATAGGAGAGCGCGCGGCATCAGCACTGGAAAGATACGTTTGTCTTACTACTTTTAATGAAGATGATTGTGTGTTGACCGTCTGTGTATTACTTTGTTTCATTCGCGGCAGTTTGCACGTCAGCTTGCTGAAGAGATACTCAGCTATTCGTCCACTGCGATGCGTGTTGCATTAGCGCAGTCATATCTGACTATAATGTCATATAGCCTATAACACGCTCTCACACGTTTAATATTTTAACATTTTGGGAGGAGTAAAATCTACATATGTGGTTTCAACAACCAGATGCATTTACACTGGTCCAGTTTCATCTGGAATGCGGCCCAGACCACTTCCTGAAGTGGTTTGAGCGATCGGATTTATATCAGTCTCGAATGGTGTCTCAGGTGTAAACAGCCCCTTTAAGTCAGGGGTTCTCAACTGTGGCCCTCAAGGTCCACTTTCCTGCAGAGTTTAGCTCTAACCGTAGTCAAACACAACTGAACAAGCTAGTCAAGGTCTTCAGAATTACTAGAAAGTTCCTTGCAGGTGTAGAAGCCCTGCTTTACATATATCCTTATCGTATTCATTGCTAAAACAGTGGGTGATCACATAGAAGATATTCAAATCCTGACTATACATTTCATCTTGAGGAAGCATAATCTCATCAGGTCCAGCCCTAAGGGAGCAGTCCATCATTTCAAGAATTCATGGCATATTCCAGTGTAAAAACTGCATTTAAAAGATCTGACATTTCAGGTCATGAATTCTGAGAAATCAAGCTTCAGTACAGTCTATATATTTCCCCCTCTTCGATTAAAAAGTATCTAATTGGCGAAGAACCTGTGCCACACATAATTACACACCCTTCCCTTTAGAGACTTTGAAAGCACACATTTGCTTGCAGTACAGCATTTACGGTCTGCTTTCTCAGCGAGGGGAACAAAGATCTGGCAGAACCTGACACATCTGGAAGCCCAACAGGTTACGAAACACAGAGATACAAAAACGACAAGAATATCAAACAAAAGGAGAGGGCCAACTACAGAGACTTCTCCTGGCCTGTTTCCAGAAGAGCTAGTGTCTAGTGTTCTGTGCTCTTGTACTCTCGTTGACATGCTTTTCTAGTTAATATACATTTTGAATGATGCTGACAGTCTGGTTTAGCATCAGTCTGCAGATTGCATAAGAAGCTTTAAGAAACCCTTCCACAATCTCCAGACAATCAAGCATTCTTTCACACCTGCTAGGCAGATAAATATTTCAGAAAACGCACAATGGAAAGTTACCACTCAGTATGTGAAACAGAGAACCACTGTTGCAAAGCTGCAACACGTTTAAAGCAATTAAAAATGAGTTAATGTTTTAGTAAATATTCATACAGCAGAGTCCGTTTAGTAAAATAACAAATAAAATAGTTTACTAAAGTCAAACCATACTTCTATACTGTACTTATTACAGAATGAAGTTATGCAACACTCATGAAAGACTGCATAAACATGATTTTTATAACCAGTAGCTCCCTAAAAACATTTAAGGGAAGATAAATTCAATACTTTGCTCTCTGAGGCATAACATATTTCTCTCAACATGAGAGACCAAAGCTGCCATTCAGGTAGCAAACGGCGTTTTATAATTTGCACCTAACTGAGAAAGGTTCCTGATTCATGTAAACCGCTTTCTCTCTTTCATTTCTCTTAAAAGGTGAAGTCACTGATGACCACAAAGCTAAAACGTTGCATGGATATAACTCTTGTATAATCTATAGCAATTTATATGACTATACCTGAGCACTTATTGATTCAGAATGCATGCTGTTGCTTACATGCTCACTGACACTACCCCATTTCTACAACAACAAAGTCTATATTATTATGTAACAAAGATTTTATGGGCTCCGACGTAAGAAACTAAAATTAGGCTGTACCCAAGTAAGCTTTCCATGAGATGTGTGGTGAAGTGTTTGTAGTCTGACTCTGTTTAAATTACACTCTTGTTTTTTTACACCACAATGTATTTTATAGTATGACTTAGCTAACTTCTATTTAAACTCTTTTTAAAGGATCAATTTACAACATAACCTTGCTTGTTTCACACCAACTGTTCCAATGTTGTGAAGGCTCTGCTCAATTTTATTGAGGCAATATTGCAGTAAACCATATATAAAGGTCATAACTGAGCTCTCTCAAAGGACAGCAAAGTAACAGTTCCAAGCCAACTTATAAGGGAGAGAAATACAAGCCAACATGAAAGTTCAGATGGCACAGGTCTATCAAATACTCTGTGAAAAGTTTTATGAGACACAAATAGTACTTCTATGGTCATTTCCAAGAGTCACAGTGTAACATCAAGTCACACTTACCAGAAACAAAAGGTGCAACTACAATAAATAAAGTTGCATTGTGAAAAAGTTGCAAATACTAGAAATTCACATTGTGAGATGTAAAGTTGCAATTTCCCCAACAAATTGTTTAATTGTGAGTGTCACATTGTAAGATTAAGTCACAGTTACAAGGAACAAGTTGCAACTACAAGAAATAAAGTTGCATTGCGAAAAATAAAGTTGCAAATACCAGAAAATCACATTGTTAGATATTAAGTCCCCAAAACAGTTGCAATTGCGGGAAAGTCACATTATGAGATTAAGGGCCCTATTTTAACGATCTAAGCGCATGATCAAAAAAGTGCACGGCGCAATTGCGCTTAGGGCATGTCCGAATCTACTTTTGCTAGTTTAAGGATGGGAAAAATGGTCAGCGCGCCCCGGCGCATGGTCTAAAAGGGTTGTCCCTATTCTCTTAATGAGAAATGGGTGTGTTTTGGGCGTAACGAGCAATAAACCAAATCAGAGTCTCATCTCCCATTCCCTTTAAAAGCCAGTTGCACTCGCGCCATGGTGGATTCGCTATTTACATGGCGGAATTTGCAAGCGGAAAAACTGAACGCTTCACTAGCGAGGAATTGGATCTGCTTGTGCACGTAATTCTGATACATGCAAAGACTATCCATTATGACATGTAGGCATTTTTATATTTATGTACACAGTAATAATCTTTTATATTTTTATCCTTGAATTTTTCATTTTTTAAATTTTTTGTGTGCTGCTGCGCATTCCTGTGTGTGTAATAAGCAAAGTGTACGCGCGTTGTGCACCCGCCTATAGGCGCATATTACTAACGCGCTCTTTAAATAACAAAAATCAAATATTGCACCAGACTTTAGACCAGGTTTTTGTTGGTCAATGGCGCAGTCTATTTCAGTTGCCTCAAAATAGGAACGCGCCAGCAATGCACCTGAACACACCTCGTTTTCAGACCAGCACGCCCATGGGCGCACAAATGCATTTGCTATTTAAACAACGTGGTGCAGGACGTGAAAATGACAACTGCGTTGGGCTGAAACTAGCAAAAAACACTTGCGTCGCGCCTGGCGTTGGGTCCCTAAGTCACAGTTATGAAAAACAACACTACAGGGAAAAAAAGTTGCATTGTGAGAAATAAAGTTGCAAATATGAGAAGGTCACATTGTGTGATATAAAGTCACAATTACCAAAATTAATTGCAATTGTGAGAAATGAAGTCACATTGTAAGATAAAGTAACAGTTATGAGAAGCAAAGTTGCAACTGCAAGAAATAGTTGCACTGTGATGAAGTTGCAAATACAAGAAAGTCACTATCACATTTTGAAGTCGCAATTACTGAAAACAGATGCAATTGTGAAAAATGAAGTCACATTGTGAGAAATAAAACTGCAAATACAAGAAATAGTCACTCTGCGAGATATGTTTCAAATACAACAGAGTCACAAAGTCAAAGAATAGGTTGCAATTGCAAGAAATAGACATACACTGTATATAAAGATATAAAGTTGCAAATTGAGAAAATCTGAGAAAATCACAAAAGGCACAAGTGCGAAAAGCAAACATCACAATTTTTCATAGATGAGGAAACTGGCTTTCATACGCTCATGAAACCTGGCACTTTCAATTTAAGTAATAACAAACAAGCATCTGCTGAATATCCTGTCAGAGATGTGGGAATGATGAATTGCCGTTTCATAAATATCTGACTTTTTCTTTTTAATATGACTTTGATGAAAAAAAAAAAGCTTGTAACACCTCATCTCTATTAGAAAGTAATAAAAGCTCTCTTACAGCATGTTCATCTAGTGGCGCATCTGCCCTGGAGGTGAACTCTGTGACCCTTTCACAGTTGGCTGGCATAAGCCACCGTGCCTGGCGTTTTGGGCCTGCCACTTCTCCTATACTGTGAGAACTCAACTGTGAGATTAAAAAGAGATAACGAACACAAATGTTGCAACTTACCCTCTAGCTAACACAGAGTCAACCCTGCCGCACACTCAAACACTCAGGGCAAGTGCAGGGCATTATTGCAGGATTTATAAAGTTTTTGAACTTTGTATATGCAGTTATATTCATTTTCTATTTCAGTTTTGAATTCTGCTACAACAAACTACCAAATTCTAGATTGTCAAAAGAATACACAAGAACTCATTTAATAGTTTAAAAGCATCCCATGGATCACCTGATGAAGCTGGTTGAAAAAACAAAAGCTATGAATATATGAGAAGATAACGTAATAAAATAGAACATAGTACAGTGCTTATAGAAGCGCTCATTGAAATGCAGCATTTTGCCAAGCGTGTCCACGCCGTGCCCTTATCAGCTCTGAGTCATGTGTTTGACTTGCCTTATTTCTCGCCGCCCACAGATCTGCGGAGGATGACAGCAGGATTTATGGGAATGGCGGTGGCCATCATCCTCTTCGGCTGGATTGTTGGGATGCTGGGATGCTGCTGGGACCGTGGCCTCATGCAGTATGTGGCAGGTCTGCTGTTCCTCATGGGAGGTAAGTCAACTCAAAACAAACCTACATGGACAATATAGGCTATTTACAGTATGTACACGAAAAATGTCATAATGAGAAGTATTTAAAAAATGTAGAAACTCATGTCAAGTTCAATTGCATTTATATATATATATATATATATATATATATATATATATATATATATATATATATATACACACATCCAACAATAAAAGTTTGTGTTTACATATATGTGTGTACTGTGTATATTTATTATGTATATTTTGTATCATTTAAATCCTTTAAGTGCTACAGAATACAATAAATTTATGAAATATGCTTAAAAAAACTGCCCTTCTACTGCCCATATCTTCAAACAGGACTAAGTGACCTTGAAATTTAAGAAATTATAGGTTGTTCTCCAAAAGCGTCTGCTAAATGACTAAATGTAATGTAATATATATATATATATATATATATATATATAGTATAAATAATGCGAGGATGTTAACATTTTCCCTGATGAACTAATTACAAATGATTAAATTATGCTTCATGAATGAATGAAATTTGGTCAAAATTCAACTTATTCATTTAGATTATTTTGGCACAATTTATAAAACCTAGATGTAATGTAATGTAATATGAATCAATAGCTTTTCACCTTGAAAAAACTCCTGCATCTATTGCTCCATCAAACTTGTCCAAGCTGGAAGTAGATTTGGAATCTATGATAAGTGATTTTGTCTAAAAAAAAAAAAAAAAAAAACATTGCGACAAATTTTTGGACAATAAATTAATTTAAAAAAAAATGTATGTAACTGCTAGGTTTCCCAGCCCTGATCCCGAAGGCACACATTTGGATGTCTGACTTATCTGACCCAGTCTCTACTAACGAGCTGTTGAGAAGTTGTATCAGGTGTGTTTGATTAGGAGGATTTTGAAAAAAAAATGTGTAGTGTTGATGTGCTTTGGGTTGGGAAACACTGCAATAATTTACCTGAATGGGAAAACTTCTCTCAAAAGTGTTTCCATCCGGGTTATTTCGATAAAAAATTTTTTTTTAAATCCCATAAAGTCTATTAAATAAAATATCAACATAATGAAGAGAATACACTTTAGGAATAAGAAGCAAATGACTTTAAATGTTTTTGGAATACTTCACAGAATAATCATAAACGAATATATTGTTATTTTAAGAAACATTTAATAAAAAAAAAAAATCACATATATAAATATATAATATTATACATAGCCTACACATCCATACGTATACTATTTTATATAATTATATATAATTAAACTGTGAATTTATTAAAAATATTTTAATAAAGTCTTGTATATTTATTACATAAAATCACACACACACACACACACACACACACACACACTCTAAAGTAAGACTAAAGTAAGTAACATGCTAACATCCACTCTCAGCAATACTTTGTGCTAAGATCAGTGTCCTAGACAATTTATACGCAAGTCACCCCATGACTGCATTAATTAATGAGTGACAGCCAGGAAGCCGGCATTACAGCAATTATGTAATATCAATTAGCTCCTGATCTCTTATCTCACTTTACGCCAACCAATATCGAGGCTCTCGACAGCGAGCATCGCTTTGTTGTTTTGAATGCACCCACAAGCTCATAACCTCATTACACAGATGCTCACACCAATCAACACAGCCTGTGGCCTCGTTACTGTGCATTTTGATATTCTGTTAACGCCCATCGAGCAGAGGAAGTGGCTGACTTGTTTTGCGTCATTCTCTCCGCTCCCATAAGTGTGGCGGCGGCGGCACCATAGAGAGCGAAGCGGAGACACAATTAAGATGTGCGCTGAATTAATGCGATGCCCTGAGCCTGAATAATGAGATGGCAATTAAAAAGCCAATTAAGACGCTAAATTATAAAGGTAGAAGGAGTGCTGAGGGTCAGATTATGGCAGGATGAATCCCCTCTGAATGTTCGTTCGGTAACATGGTGCGGGAGTTTGTTAGAGCTCTTTATCAACTAACATGTTATGACAGCGTCATCTATACAGGGCTCGACTTGCAGATAAAGCTTGTAATATATGTAACAAGGCTTGAGAAAGGGGAGTTGTGAATATGTCTGCAACTGCATGATGGAATGTCACTGCAATGTTATGTAATGACAACCTTAGCTTAAGTATAACAGCCAATGCAGCACCGCACGTTAAAAATAGGCTAAAATCTTTAGCAAATTCACTTACAATTATCAATGGATTTCTAGATTTCTCTTCAGAAATCATTCTAACAGGCTGATTTGGTGTTCATTGAGTTATTTTGAGGGGACAGCAAATTTACACTGTTATACAAGCTGTACACTCACTACTTTACATTGTAGCAAAGTGTCATTTCTTCAGTGTTGTCACATGAAAAGATATAATAAAATATTTTTAAAAATGTGAGGGGTGTACTCACTTCTGTGAGATACTGTATATATGAAATACTGTAGAATTTTTTTGTAACACTAAATGTTACTGTCACGTTTAATTAATTTAATGCATCTTTGCTGAATGAACATATTAATTTATTAAACTAAATAAATAAAATCTTACTGACCCGAAAGTTTTGAATGGTAGTAGATTTAAACATCTGTCTCATCGAAGCCAGCTTGTGATGATTTTGTTCTCCAGTCTTCTAATTTCAGTCATATTTATTTGCATGTATATACAGTCATACCAATTCTAAAATTATCACATTTATATAATCAGGAAAGTCAATAGAGACCAAAACTAAAGTAGAATGCACAGTTATACACCTATTTTAACATTGCTGAAGTGTAACGTTGAGCTCACAGCGAAATGGTTGGTGAACTAAACTTATCTTAAAAAAACTTGGTCATGCTGAATAAGGCATTAATATGTGCTTAATAAGAAACAGCCAGTATGCTAGTTATATCCATGCTAATAAGCAGCTAGTTAATAGTGAGAATTGGTCCCTAAAGTGTTACAAAAATCTATATATACCCAATATCTGTGTTTCCTGTGCTATTTTTATTTAACGTTCTTTTTTTTTTTTGCTGCTTATTAAAATATTAGCTTAGCATGTAAGACCACTATTTGTACAAGTCACAAGACAGCAGGGGTTCTCAACCCTACTTAAACACACCTGAACAAGCTTATCAAGGTCTTCAGGATCACTAGAAAGCTACAGGCAGGTGTGTTTGATTAGGGCTGGAGCTAAACTCATGTGGACCTCGAGGGCCAGAGTCAAGAATCACTGCTCTTCACTGATTTCCACAGAACTGAATCCCTGAATTTCTTTCAAAATCAGCACAGCAAATGTATTCAACTTCAGTTGGGATGTTGAGGCATACAGCAAAGGCAACTTATTCAGTTTTAGGATCAAAGCTACTGAAGTATTCTGATGATTGTCTTTCTCTTTTTCAGGCACATTTTGCATCATTTCCTTGTGCACCTGTGTAGCAGGCATCAATTTCGAACTGTCCCGTTACCCTCGCTACATGTACGGCCTCCCAGACGACATCAGTCACGGATACGGCTGGTCAATGTTCTGCGCCTGGGGTGGTTTGGGCCTCTCCCTCATCGCCGGCTTCTTCTGCACGCTGGCGCCCTCCATACAGCCGATCCCTCGCTCCACGTGCCCGAAATCCCGCCAAGAAAACGGCACAGTGTGTTAAGGGACGGCCTGTAAAAATCCCCAAGCCCTACATGTGCAGCTGGACAATGGGGGACAAAATACACACAAAAAAGACCATAACTGAAGATTAAAATCATGTGCATTTAGAATCATTTCTAATCTCACCAACCAGGCCATTTTTTAACCTTGTGTGTGAATCTACAACTGAGTGTCCTGATCATTTAAAAAGAGAAAAAAACAAAAAAACACAAAAACAAATAATAATAAGATAATATCAGTGGGACTTTCCGTCGTCAAGATCCTGCACAGGAAAACGTTTGTTCTGTCAAAGTTGTGACTTTCGTGAGCACAAGAAAACGGTGACGAATGAAGCAAAAAAACAAACAGTATTGCTCATTCCGATGCCGCAAGAATGGATATTGACATGTAGGCCGACACCTAAAAACTGCCAAACCTGGAGACTACTGTATTTGTATCTGGACGGCACCATGTGCAAGTATGGAGGTCCAGTGCCAAGGTCTGTCCAGACTAATCACGAGCTCCAGGACCAAGTTTCTTTCACATGAGGGGACAACAACTTTGATGCAGTTTGGATCTCTTGTGTCTAAACCCGTCGATTGGTCTCGGACTCTTGGGATGTGGCTAAAGGATCCACTCGTGCATAAATGAGGAAGACTTCAGGAATTGGAGATGCCTGCTCATGACGTTATGTTGCTATTGCTGTACAGCAAATTGTAAAGAGAAAAATAATACCTATAATATTCCAGAAGAGAAAAAAAAAATCCTAACAGGAAAGAAATTTTTTGGAGCATTTTCCATGTTTCATTTCTTATTCATGTCCATATGGTATCAGCGGACATTTCTAACATGCTCTCGGTTTTATTATGTGCTTCTTTCTTTGTTTTTTAGTAATTACGGTCATCATCAGTTTGAATGAGTGTGTAGGAAGTGTGCAAATTCTTTAGCTACTATCAATATAGTATGTGTGTGAGAGTGTTTTGCGGTCTCCATACAAAAAAAGGACAAAAAAAAGGTAACATAAAAAAAAAAGCATAAAATCAAAAACCTGCCTTGGGGGAAATCAGGTAGGCTTTTGCTCAACCAAGAATTACTGGAAAGGAAAGATTCCATATCCTGTTTTAGACAGCCGACCACTTTGTCCCTGTAGACACGACTGACGTAGTACGCAGAGAAACAGAAAGACAACTCAACATCACACTGATACTGCCTTAAGCTTTTCTGGAAGGAGGCATTTATGCCATTTGATGGGAACGCATGCTGACTTCTCTTCTGAAAGCATCCATGCGCTGACAAAAGAAATCCTCATTTGAATCCAACTTCCTGCTCTGTTTAACCATGCGTCTATTTACTTAAAGGGAACTCCCAAAACAGGACGTGATATGTAAGTGCCTCCTGATTACATGAGACAGCAGTGGTGCACAAAAGAGGTACATCTGTGGAATCGTGACCTCGACATGGAGGACAGGTGGCAAGCACAAGCTCAATACAATCTCTCAAGCTGTTTGCATTATTTCTCTGCTCACACATTCGTTTTCAAAATCTGAAACATTTTATTATCCATTTCACATTCTATAAACAACATAAACAATCACTTGAGCAGCCATAAAACAGCGCACTACAATGGGACACACGCATTGAGGGTCATTGGCGAATCGGCACACTCAATCATGCCAAAAACCTACGCTAGGAGATTTAGCTTTGTCGCAAGACAATGTTTACAGATTTCTAGAAGGGAGATTTGCCAAAAAATACCTGCCAGGTCTCTTTCATAGACTTCCTCACATAGAGGAATTCCAGAAAGTTCATGACGGCCAGCGGATCCACTAGCAGTTAGCCTGGTGTCCATTTAAGTCTGTCAGTAAACGAAAGGGCACTTACATATTTAAAGACTATGAAATATCCATGTTTATTGACTTTTAAGTCATATATATGTACTAGTGTACTCCTAAACATTGACAAAGCCAACCTTTAGCAGATTTAATGGGTCACGGGAAGACTCCCAGACTCACATCATCATAGAAAACCTAGGAATATCAGGTAATTGTGATTTCCAGCCCTGGAAAAGTAATGGAATTAATCAAAAGTCATGAAATGTCAAGAATTTCTATAGTGGATATATAGTAAGACCTTGCACAAAAATATTTCATTGCCCATAAATTGCTCTTCATGAGTACAATCCTTATTTTATTTTTTTATTTATTAAAAAAATCCTTAAAGCTGCAGTCCGTAACTTTTTGCGTTCAAAATGTATATAATAAGCGAGTACACCATTAATCCATTTTCCAAACAGTGTTTTTGGCTTGTCCTGAATCCCTACGGTACCTATAATAAATGCTTATATTTGGACTGGTTCGGGTAGGTACCGCTGCGGAGTAGCCCAGTGCCTGCGTGATTCGTCATAGACATAAACAGAGAGAAGTAGCTCCGGCTACAATGTTCTTCCGCAAGACGCATGCAGTTCTGTTTATTAACCGCTAGAGCGCCAAAAGTTATGAACTGCAGCTTTAAATAACAAAGGACCAACAAAAAAAAAAGTCATGAAAATTTGTCAAACGTTGTGGGAAAACTCATTTAAAATGTATCATTTTTCTCTTCTGGCATAACCTGTCTGTAAGTTGCTAGTAATCCTGTAGATGTTGACTAAAGGGATAACGCCCAAAAAAATGAAAATTCTGTCATCATTTGAAAAGAAATGGGGGGGCAATTGTTTGGTTACCAACATACTTCAAAATGTCTTCTTTGTGTTCAACAGAAGAAAGAAACGTATACAGGTTTGGTTTTTGGGTGAACTATCCCTTTAACAGGTGCGTTTCATTTTAATTGAAGCTAAACAACCTAAATCATAAATATCACCTGCTTCCAAATAGCAATAGTAAGAAACAAAGCATCACTGGTCACGCTGGTGCTCAGTTCCTTTAACGAGTTCATTCATTTTGAGAGTTTTCATTGCGTTCATTCGTGAAACAAGCTGCCAAGTGAAGTTTTGCAGAGCATATGATACATCCCAGCACTTCTTCCAAAACTATTTTATGGGATCATTATGGAATCAGCTCACTGAAAACTCTCCTTCTCTACTTTGCGTTGATGAAATATGGGTTCAGCAGCCTTCATGGGAAGCATTCAGAAGAGGTTTCTGACATATTTATGGGCGCTTTGGGTGATTTGTGTGGCAGCATTCAAGTAAAAAGACTTTGTTGCATGCTGACAATGCAATTAGCCATGAAATTACGTAAACATCCAACCATACTCACAGAACTCCAGAAGACTTCATCACACTTTCCAGAAGCAGAGCCCGAAGACAAATCGACTAAACGCAGCCCACAAACTCCACAGCGCTTGATTACAATGTGCATGCAACAGAAAACCTGCATAAATACACAATAAACAATCTGTTTTAGAGGCATCTTGCAACAAGCCCATCTGGCCTTATATAAGATAGTGTTCCTTGACACACTTAGGAGAAAAATATGTATTTCAGTCCATGGATTACTCTCCTAGGCAAAGACATAATTGGGGTCAGTCGCTGGTTGTACACAACATTTCTCAAATAAAACCAAAATGCCATCCTTGCACAGTCCTAATTTAGAATTACATGTAACAATATTTAAAAACATACTTAAATTCATTCCTGCTTTCTTTCTTCAACAGGGCAAAGTGGGGTGTTCAGTCAGAGTATAAAGACATCAAAGAGCACTGAAGGGCAGATGCTCGCATCAGATGCCAAGAATAAACACTTTCAATTACGGCTTAATTGGCATCCGTCCTTGAGAGTCCCAAACTGAAAGCAGGTAGTGAACTGCATCTCATAAGCTTCATATGGATCATTGTGATGCTTATAGTGAGACATTTCAGTCAGTCTTATAGAATCTGTGGTAACAAAAAGATGAAAAAACAAAACAAGTAACAGTCTAACTGTCAACTTTGTGGGCATTTTAAGGACTCGCCTCAAAGGAAGATCACGAAGCGTTGGGCATGTAGGCAATACGGGCTCAGGATCACAGATTCCTTTTTTCATGAACACACTCCACGTTACATTCAGACAAATGTGTTTACATCACAGCCAACAGTTGTCAGCCTTTGTTCAGTTTTCTGTTGAGTGGGGTGGGATGGGAAACATGAGTGGGAATATGTTTGTCTTCAAAATATAAAATGAAAAAAGTAGCAGAATCAGTGAAACTGCAGCTTTTTAATGAGACACTGAAGCCTAAAGGTTTATCGGATCTTTTTCCATCGGTAATATGTCTGTTGAGTACCTGAAAAAAATTGAATAAAACTGTAAAAAAATGTTTAAGAAAAAGAGAAAATAGTTCCTGGACAAAATGTTAAAACTGTGGAATGTAAAATCATTACAAAAATAAAATCTCATTGTTGTGTTTATTTGTATTGTATATTTACCTTTGCATTGTACTTACCTTTATTATTATTATTATTTCCAGGCATTTAAAAAGTTTACAATATTGTTCAATTGGTTAACATTACAGCATTAGTTATGAAAAATTATCACGCATTTTAATGGTTAATGGTAATTTATAAATACGCTTGTTCATTGTTAATTCATTTTTGTACATATATGTTACTTCATACTGGTTAACATTACAGCATTAGTTATGAAAAATTATCACGCATTTTAATGGTAATTTATAAATACGCTTGTTCATTGTTAATTCATTTTTGTACATACAGTGGGTACGGAAAGTATTCAGACCCCCTTAAATTTTTCACTCTTTGTTATATTGCAGCCATTAGGTTCCCAAGAGCACAGTGGCCTCCATTCCTTAAATGGAAGACGTTTGGGATGACCAGAACCCTTCCTAGAGCTGGCCGTCCGGCCAAACTGAGCTATCGGGGGGGAAGAGCCTTGGTGAGAGAGGTAAAGAAGAACCCAAAGATCACTGTGGCTGAGCTCCAGAGATGCAGTTGGGAGATGGGAGAAAGTTGTAGAAAGTCAACCATCACTGCAGCCCTCCACCAGTCGGGGCTTTATGGCAGAGTGGCCTGACGGAAGCCTCTCCTCAGTGCAAGACACATGAAAGCCTGCATGGAGTTTGCTAAAAAACACCTGAATAAGATTCTCTGGTCTGATGAGACCAAGATAGAACTTTTTGGCCTTAATTCTAAGCGGTATGTGTGGAGAAAACCAGGCACTGCTCATCACCTGTCCAATACAGTCCCAGCAGTGAAGCATGGTGGTGGCAGCATCATGCTGTGGGGGTGTTTTTCAGCTGCAGGGACAGGACGACTGGTTGGAATTGAGGGAAAGATGAATGCGGCCAAGTACAGGGATATCCTGGACGAAAACTTTCTCCAGAGTGCTCAGGACCTCAGACTGGGCTGAAGGTTTACCTTCCAACAAGACAATGACCCTAAGCACACAGCTAAAATAATGAAGGAGTGGCTTCACAACAACTCTGTGACTGTTCTTGAATGGCCCAGCCAGAGTCCTGACTTAAACCCAATTGAGCATCTCTGGAGGGACCTAAAAATGGCTGTCCACCATCGTTTACCATCCAACCTGACAGAACTGGAGAGGATCTGTAAGGAGGAATGGCAGCGGATCCCCAAATCCAGGTGTGAAAAACTTGTTGCATCTTTCCCAAAAAGACTCATGGCTGTATTAGATCAAAAGGGTGCTTCTACTAAATACTGAGCAAAGGGTCTGAATACTTAGGACCATGTGATATTTCAGTTTTTCTTTTTTAATAAATCTGCAAAATTGTCAACAATTTTGTGTTTTTCTGTCAATATGGGGTGCTGTGTGTACATTAATGAGGGAAAAAAATTAACTTAAATGATTTTAGCAAATGGCTGCAATATAACAAAGAGTGAAAAATTTAAGGGGGTCTGAATACTTTCCGTACCCACTGTATATGTTAATTCATATAATTGAAAAATCTAGATTTATAACTGCTGTAAAAGTATTGTTTGTTTTTAATTCCTGATACCTAATGCATTAACTTAAAAAATGCATTAACCAAAAATCGTAATAAAAGTTTACCTAGGGAAAAAAAAGAAAAGAAAAAGAAAATGACAGGACGGCAGTCTAGCGAGACATAAAGATCAGTGAAGTTCACTTGCTGACATTTAAGGCAAGTAAAATCACCATGGCAACAAATATGATAAGGTTATTATCTGATCAACTGTGCAAACCGTTGAAACGGATCCAGAGAAAGCCGAGAGAGAAAAGTACAAGGATGAAAAATAGAGGGCAAACTCATCAAATGTGATAACAGTGAGCCGAGTCTGAGTGAAGCCTTCATGATTGAGGCAATAACTAACTAGCTCTCGTACTACATATGTTGGCTAAGAAAGTACAAACAAAAACATCTTACAGGCTGATTTAAAGAGATGAAAAGCCTGTTTGAGGCTTGAGGCAAGTGCGCTGCTATGAATAACCACCTCTGATTAAGATGGGCCCGTGTGTTCTTCATTAGAGGCCTCTTGAGACAATGAGTATTGACCCTGCTGTTGATGACGGGCCACAGAAACACAAGCGCTTTAACTTGAGAGCATTTAGATCACTTCTCTGAGACGCCCAGACCAATGCTTCTCAACTGGTGGGGAGAGACTCAGAAATGGGTCACAGGCCTGTTCTGAAGGGGAAAAACAATGCAAAATGCAATTTTGACAGTTTGAGATCCACACGGTCCAAATTAAATCTATTTAGGAGTTCACTCGCAACAAACGTAAACATGCAGCCCACGTTGAAATCAATTATTGGATGAGAGCATGAAACCATCAATTAAAAAAAA